CTGAGAGCAGACAGGGTTGAAAAGATCGCGGTGAGAAGAGTTACAAAGAACCTCTGCTTCTTGGAGCGTGATGACCACAGTCCCCCACCACCCACCCTTCTGGCTCAGAGGCATCTGCACAGGGCAGGCAGACGCTCTGGTTTAAGGGAATTTATTGGCCAAAGGCTGCAGCTGCAGTTTTGAAGTCAGACTATATTTTTTAAAGCCTATAGACATTGAAATTTCGCTACAGGAAGTTTAGCTCACGCTTTAAAAAAAAAAGTAGTTAAGGAATGCATTCAGAATTCCAATTTAATCCCCAAGTTAAAAACTTCACTGCACTACCAAAAAGCAGACACAAATAGTACAAATAAATGTCTGTGTTTAGGCATCCTTTATTTAAGCATTTTTGTTTGAAAAATATCGCATTAGTTTTCATTTGAAAAAGTTAGTTTTTTGAGGCATATGATATATTGGCAGAACAGATCTCGTTTTGGTGATGGAAGTTGTATTTACATTGTGATCTTAAAATATTTCGGAGTGGGGCAGATACACATGGATATGGAAGGCACTCTCCCTGTGAAATCGAAACTCATGTCCTCAGCAAGGGCCTGTAATTCGCAAAGAATTACAAGGCTACTGAACCTAAACTGGTTTTCTCCCAGGACAGGGATGTGGTGGCTTGTTGAGAAAAGTCCAAACACAAAATGGGAAAACCTGGCAGTTACACAAACACACACAAAACAAGCTAAAATGCTCGACACCATTTTTAGATCGCTTTAAAAATTACCCAAACGAGGAAAAATCTCCTCTGAAGGAATTACATCAGTTCAGTGCTTTCTGGGAGTGACCTACCAAGTTGACTGTTGTTTCTTGAAAAGTAGAAAATGTATTCAACCTCCTCACAAAGCAGGATTGCCTTTGGATTGCTCAGAAATGTCGGACAGCTTCCTGACATCGCTCAACTCAAAACCAAACCAAAATACCTGCCCTAGTACACACCACTCCCACCACCACCAAAATAACAAAAACCTACTTAGCACTGTCCCTAAAGAGGAAAAAATTCATTTAATTTTTTTGATAAGAGCCATTAAAATACAATTTCTAGGAGAGCAGTAAAATTGAAAAAATTCTGCTGAAATGTTATCATGTAGTTTTGTCTAGTTATAAGTTCATCACAGATGGTTTTTCATGTTGTAATAGAAAAATCACTTCTGACTTTGGTGCTACAGTTAGATTAGAAAGCTGCAATAACTTTGAACTTTTCTTGTGGCATTGGTTATATAATTAACTGATTATTTGAATAGTTGGAAGGTAACAACGTAAGAAGCAGCATATATAACTAAAATGATCAATTATCTGCCTACTTTATATGTATGTTAATGAAGCAATTTTTGTGTAGAGGATAATAACTTATGGGAACACATTACAGTTTTCAAAGAAGCATCATATTTTTATGGGGTAATATATTTACTATAATGATTAGCATGTGACTTTCCTCCAAAAAAAGGCATAATTTTATTTATCGCTTATACAGCTATACAGCACTTTCCTCTCAGACGTTGCTGTCATTTTACTATGGTCTTTAATCACATATGGGAGGGTGGGACTTGCATAAATGTTTAATGTGGCAAGCATACATAGGCAGGTACACTCAAGATAAAATCAAATGCTTCCATGGATGCAACGATATTTACTTTATATGGCAGTAATTAGCTAAACTGTCTGGCACAAAAACCTATTATTAGTTGAACACAAGCTCCAGGATCTTAAAAATCCTCTTTTCAGACAAGAGCATGCAGATGCCCCCGAACGCCGCCACCGTAACTGGATACTCCTCGGAACCAGATCCCACGTCCTGATAAGTGACTCCGGAGAACCAAGCGCGGCTGTAAAGTAACTACTGCTCTGGCACTTTCCTCCCCGGCAGGGGCGCACAACTGCTGGTGTGCACTCTCCAGGTCCTTGGGGCAGGGGCTGCGGCAGCTCTGCTGCTGGAAAGGCAGGCCACTTAGATGGGGATGGGCCTGGCGAGGATCCCTGCTGGGAAGCTCCGCGCGGAGGGAACCAGACCCACAAAAAGCAACCTAAAGAACAAGGAGAGGGCAGCCTGAGGTGACCTGAACCCCTGCATGGGGCATGAGGCCAAGATCATCTCTAGGTATCAGGTAGAAGTCTTCCGCTGGCCAGATCAGCCCTGCTCATGGCTGGGTATGAGAAGAGAAAAGGAAGACGGGGCACAGAAACCGCCTGTTAGGCCCCGGTACTTGGGTCCCCACCCCTGCCTCCAGATCCTCACTTGCCTTCAACCCCGTAGTTCTGAACTGAGTCCCTGGCAGCCTGCTGAGGAGCAACATGACCAGGGGATGCAGGAGATAAGCCACTCAGGTCTGGCCCAGGGGTACCTGGCTGGGGAGCGGTGGAGCAGGTTCGGAGGAAAATGAACCGAGTGAGCCTGGGGGTGGGGAGGAAACAGCCTTCTGTGGGCTCAGGGTGGAGGGAACCAGGTAGATACCAGTGGCAGCTGGTGTGTGGGCATACCTTGTTGTTCCCAGTACCCGGAGCAACCAGCTCCATGATGGGGGTTCTTAGGGACTTAAGGAAGGCCTGCAAGCAAAGCCCTGCGGAGAAGCAAGAGAACTGTAGCAAGGAGAAATGCAGGCTTCAGTTGGAAACGAAAGAGTTTCGGTAGCTTTTGTCTTTCTTTCTTTTTTACTGAATCTTGAAATCATGCAAGAAAAGCATCCGGAGAGGCATTTTTAAAAAGGCGGGGGGGGGGGGCGGGGAACCAGAAGGGAGAAGAAACATTCCCAGAGCAACGTCTAGCCCTGAAGTTAGGGGCGGAAAGTGAAGCTGGAACACTGGAACGCAGCTTCCTTCTTTTATGCTTGCCTGCCACCACAACACACACATTCAAGGATCCCCGCCCGGCAGTGCCGTGCACTCACCCCCACCTCTTTCTTGATCTTTGCGCCCAAGCATTCTTCATCTGCCACAAAACCAGACTCATCCTTCTCTGCAACACCATGGCCTGGTTTGGAGACGTCAGCCCACCTGGGCTGAAAATTCAAAGCAGAAAGGCACGGGGTACCCCTGTAGCTGTGGTATGGTCTTCCCGGCACAAAGCCCTGCCCAAAGAGGGCCTCCCCACAGTCCACCTAAGCACTCCCCGGCACACGTGGCCGTGCTGCTGCATCCCAGCTCCCCAGTGCCCCAGGGGCTGACTCCCCAAGCACTTCCGTTCCCTTCTGAGCAGCCCCGCCTCTATCTCCTCCCGACCGACCGACCGACCGGCTGTTCTTTCTCTCCCCAGCCTTGGACACCCACTCCTACTGCCTTGCCCGGGAGGGGGGGGCAAGGAGGTACCTGGCAGCTCTCCACTGTACCCCCACTCCCATTCCATGTCTGCAACCATCCAGGGATGTTGTCCACAGTCCCTGCATGGGCCACCCTGCTCCTTCCAGCTGACACGCAGGTGTCAGGTCTCCCCCAGCTCCACCACCACAGCCGCCAAAAAATGCTTGGGGCAGCTAGGGCCAGATCAAAGGCACCAAAGTTGGGCGGAAAAAGATCTCTAGTTTTTTCAAGGCCAGTGCTGTTCATGGGTCTTTCTGTGGGCCTCATAGCAGTGCCTGTGGCTCCTCACTGGGCTGAGCATGATGGCAAGTAAACACCGATTGTACGGGAAGATGATCCCTACCTGCTGGGAGTCTCCAGAATCTCAGGGAACACCACAGATTTGCGCAGAAAACAACTGGGGCCGCATGAGGGCACCAGAAGGTATGTGGGTTGGAAAAATTAGACACCCAAAGGTCAAGGCTTAGAAACAGGCGCCCAGTTTCAACAGGCGGAAAAGACAGCCTCCATGTCTGGGTCACCTCCCTTCTGAGGACAGAAGCGGCACTCGAGACCGCCCGTTGTGCACGGCACCCCAGTTGTGTCATCACCAGTGCAGTCAACAAACACTGATTGACCTCTGATGTTGAATGGCAGTAAATTAGTATGTATTTGAGCACTTACCATGCATGGGGACCTCCCTTAGCTCCTGACATGTTTTGCCTCATTTATTCCTGGCAACAACCCTGAAGAAGGTTTTATTGTGTCCTTTTTGTGAGACAAAGAAATTGAGGCTTAGAAACGCCCAAGGCCACACACTGACTAGGCTAGAATTCCAACCAAGAATTGTGGGACAACAAAGCTCAGCGATAGCTCACTTGGCTGTACCGTCTTTCACACACCTGCTTAGTGCAGTTGCTGCAAGGGCTGCAAGGGCTACAAGGGCAAATGCAGCCAGGATCCTGCCCGCAGAGACTCACGGTCTACCTGGGTTGAGCAGGCAAGCAACACAGCTACAGTACTAGGTGGGAAGTAATAAGTGACACTATGTCCTTTACTAACACGCGCTGCAAGTTCAGATTCGAGAGAGATGGCTTCCGGCTAGGCAATCAGGAGCACGCTTCCTTGGAGGTGGTATTTGAACAGAACCTCGGAGAACAGCTTTTGACTCATGGAATCAAGGGTGGGGAAGCGTTCCAATAGGAGGGAACAGCTTGAGCAAAGTCAATGAGGCAGGAACAGACACGTGGCTCATCTACAGACACATAAAACATACTGTCCTCTTGGGGATCCAGTGCCCGGTATTTACAGGGCAGGAAGCTTTCCTGCCCTGCAACAGCTGGAAAAATCACGCTCCTAGGCCATCTATCCTTCCTGGAGTTGTTGATTTGCAGACAGGAAGCCTCCCAGAACCGGCGCTGACTGGGAAGGTGCAGCTTGGAGGCATGGGAGTCAATGTTCGGCACCCTAAGTGGTGCAGCCTCACCAGCTGGGACTTGAACTTCCCTCGAGACTCTACACTAGTCCTTGTCAATTCTGCTAGTGCTACTACATCCCACTCCGTGGATGCAGGGGGCGTGGTCCACATGAGCTAGAACCAATGGGAAGGGAAGCAAAGGCGAGAGCCCCGCCCCCGACGTGACGCCACCACCTCAGACACAAGCTTCACAGCAGAGGCCCCAGTCTCTGCAGTGGTTGTAACAAAACCCAGACTCCCAGGTCCGGGCCAATGGAGGCCATTTGACTGGAGCTGGACCGGGTCTGTCAAAAGCCCTCCTCGGCAGCAGCGGTGGAGTCCAGAAGGAGCGCTGGTGCCGCAGCGCTGCCTCCCCGCCCCCGCCGGGATTTATTGAGTATTTGGACTGGACAATTAAGTGGCCCTGATGATGTTACCAAGCCCGGTCACCTCCACCCCTTTCTCAGTCAAAGACATTTTGAATCTGGAGCAGCAGCAACAGCACTTCCACGGCGCTCACTTGCAAGCGGACTTGGAGCACCACTTCCACTCGGCACCCTGCATGCTGGCTGCTGCCGATGGGACGCAATTTTCTGACGGAGGGGAAGAAGACGAGGAAGAAGAGGGCGACAAACTGTCCTATTTGAACTCACTGGCCACAGCCGATGGCCACGGGGACTCGGGGCTCTGTCCCCAGAGCTATGTCCACACAGTCCTACGAGACTCGTGCAGCGCGCCTAAGGAACATGAAGAGGAATCCGAGGTCGTGAGGGACCGGAGCCAAAGTGAGTAGGGGGGGGGAGGAAATGCACCCACACATCTGGAGCAATGGCGAAGTGCCCGCAAACAGCCCACGAACCTTACCAGCATGGCTGCCTGCCCCTTTACCCTTTGGCTGGGGTCATCCCTCGCACCCGGTCAATGACAACTCTGCAAAAAGCAGGTACCTGAGAGGGAGCTGGGGCGCAGGGAGAAAAACCAGGTGACCCCGACAACTGCTTCTCCCAGAGAGGGGTCGAGGCAGCACCCAGGGGAAGGCAAAGTAGTTATTGCTGCCCTGATGCTGGCAAGCAACAGGGGCTCAGCTGCTGGGCCCAGGAAACTCCCAGCGTTTTCGCTCTTTCCAAGAGCTAGAGGGGCAACAACCTGAACCTTTTCTACTTTCTCTCTAGCCTGAGACCAGTTCTCTGATGCCAGAGCAGTGGTCCCTCTTCTCAGAAAAGAGGGTCCAAGCTGGTTGTGTCTGCAGGGCCCACAGGGCGCAGGAACTTCGGCAGAGACTAGCAGAGTGATCTCCTCACCTCTCTCCTTGGGGCTCAGCGTTCTGGCACCCACAGCATCGGGCAGAGAAGGAGGGGGTAGGGGGTAGTTGGAGAGTGTACTGGAACACAGTCCCTTAAGCAGAGCAATCACGCCCCTGAGGCGCCAGCCTTAAAAAAAAAAAAAAAAAAAAAAGCAACATTTTGCTTTGTGTCCCAGACTAAGCAGCTGCGGGTCCAGGGAAAACCGCGCTGAACTTAGTTGGAGATCCTGGCCACTCTCATCGATGGGAGGTGATTTGGGTAGGGAAATCGGATAACCGAATAAAACCTCCAAGGAAATGTTTGTTTTTGAGGGTGCACAGTCTAATCTCTTTCCCCAAGAGATCTGAGGTGGCCAAAGCCAAGGCCTCTGCTCTGACAGCTCCATGGGCCTGAATGCAACACGAAACTGTATAAATCAGCGAATCAAATTTCTTTTTCTCTCTAAAGTAGTGCAGACATCATCACATAGCTGTGAGCATGTGGTCTTCTTAAGAGCAAAAAAGAGTTCCTAGGCAACGCATGAGCATTACGCAGACACTTCTACCAGAAAGATTTTCGAGCAACTCTCGCATACCGGTCCCTGAATACCCACATGCCTCTCACCTTCGGCTGTCTGTGACGGAATGGAAGGCAAACAGGTTTGAAGATACTGTAGTTATTATGTAGTTGCAAACCTGCATCCTGAAAATAGTCATTAGCACGCTGAGCCACAGATTTAATACAGGGTAATCTCTTCTTTCTCAGATGCTCGAGTTCTAAATAAATGCGTACTAACTACCCCTCCCCATGGAACGTGCCTCAAGGGCGTTCTGACTGTACTTGGGCGGTCACAGGGTCCCAAGACGCCAAGAGCCACAAACTTTTCGGAAACCCCAGGCATTTACTACCGCGCTCTCCGTACTGCTATCAAATGGGGCCACAGTGTTTTAGGATCGGAGCTGCCGCGAGGCCCGGAACATCTTAAGGGACGCTGTTGTTTTGCTTCTTCTGCAGAAAACTGCCCGCTGAAGAAGCCTCTGGAGGCGGCCGGAGACTGTAAAGTGGCAGAGGACAGCGAGAGGCCGAAGCCACGAAGCCGCCGGAAGCCCCGTGTCCTCTTCTCGCAAGCCCAGGTCTTCGAGCTGGAACGCAGGTTCAAGCAGCAGCGGTACCTGTCGGCGCCCGAGCGCGAGCACCTCGCCAGTAGCCTGAAGCTCACGTCCACACAGGTGAAGATCTGGTTCCAGAATCGCAGGTACAAGTGCAAGAGACAGCGGCAGGACAAGTCTCTGGAGCTGAGTGCGCACGCTCCCCCGCCGCCGCCGCGTCGCGTGGCCGTGCCCGTACTGGTGCGGGACGGCAAGCCGTGCGTCACGCCCGGCGCGCAAGCCTACAGTGCGCCCTACAGCGTGAGCGCGGGCGCCTATTCCTACAACAGCTTCCCCGCCTACGGCTACGGGAACTCGGCCGCGGCCGCAGCTGCCGCCGCCGCTGCCGCCGCCGCCGCAGCGGCCTACAGCGGTAGTTACGGTTGTGCGTACCCGGCCGGCGGCGGCGGCGGGGGCGGTGGGGCCTCTGCGACGGCCGGGGCCCTGCAGCCCGCCTGCAGCGCTGCCGGAGGCGGTCCCTTTGTGAACGTGAGCAACCTGGGCGGCTTCGGCAGCGGTGGCGGCACCCAGCCGTTGCACCAGGGTGCGGCGGCTGGGGCGGCTTGCGCGCAAGGCACCTTGCAGGGAATCCGGGCTTGGTAGGGTCACGGCGGCTGGAGCCCCACCGCAGCCTGGCGCAGCGGGACTGAAGCGCGAGAAAGGCTGGGTCCAAGGGCCAGGTCCCCTCGTTAAAAAAATAAAATAAACGTCTCCCTCACCAGAGCCCGGGAGCGTAGCTCACACAAGGCCTGAGAAAGTGGACCCAAGGGCGAGGAGGATGCCCTGGATGGGTCTCGGAGCCTGTCTCCGAGGCAGAAAGGCCGGGTGGGTGCCTGGGAGAACGACGGCCCCAACCTGGCTCTTAAGGGAGTGAGAGAGAGGCTGAGAATCCGGCTGCCGTTTGTTTCTGCCAAAGCGAAAAGGCTTCTCTCCCTCGGCCTTCCCGTGGCCTCCTTGAAACATTGGCGGAAACCCCAAGGCCGAAAAAGGAAAAAATGCATGAAGGAGAGAAAAATGGGCGACTTGGCTTGAGAAATCCCCAGGCCCTACCGAACCTCTGACCCCTTGCGGGTCCGGAGCACCGCATTAAAGTCCATTTTCCTTTTTTCCAATTGCCTGCCCTCAGCAGCAGATTCTACGGCCTGGATCTCCGCATTGTCAGGAGGCGTAGAACTCTTCCAGAAAAAACAGCGGAGCGAAATCAAAAATTGGGGAGGGCTGAACAAATCCAGATCCTGGTGGCCTATGGATGTGTTACCGGGTTCCTTTCTGTTTCGTATTCTGTATTCAGCACATATAATATATATAACTGCATCCACATGCCGTGTACACCCGCTGCCATACACTACAGGAGTCAATAAATAAGGTGCAATATTTCCGAACAGTTGGCCGGCTACAGACTTTGTTTAGCGCTCCCAGAGTGGGGGGGGGGGCCTTTGAACAGCGAGTGGGGAGGAGTAGGTGGGTCAGGGAAAGTGTGGTACTCGTTGGGCAGCCGCAGGCCTGTTCTGCCGTGGACCAGTCCCCAGGCTGCAGATCTGGGCTCCTCGTGGCTTTGTTCATCAGTTTCTTTTTACTCTAGTGGGGAAGACAGGTCAGAGACTTGGGGCCTTTTAAATCCACCCCCCCCATTTTTACCCAGATGCTTGGGCTAGTGCCCGAGCCCTGGTTAGATCAAGGCTTAGTGTCTGCCCCACCTCCTGGGTCGCCGGAAAAAGAAAACCTCGTCCCTAGCCCAGCCGTAGGCGGCAGGAAAGTGGCTCCTTCTTCGGCCGCCGCCGGGGCTTCCAGCGCGCCCGGGAGCGCTGCGCCCTGCCGTGGCTGAGTTCTCCCCCTCGGCCGCCCTCCCTTCTCCCCCGGCGGCCGCGGCTTTATGCCGTTCCTTGTCACTTGCGGAGAATGCCGTGCGAGGTCTGTGCTGCCACACGGCCGATTGTGAGCGTGCCAAGGCGGGTGAATGGGGAGGCCTCAGAGCGCCGCGCCATTGTGGGGCCGGGCCTTGCTGAAAGGCGGCTCCGGGCCGGGTAGGTGCGGAAAGAATGGCTTTTTATTGGAGTCCTGAACAAAAGGTGTGGTAGGAAGGCGAAGTCCCCTGCGCGAACAAAAACCCCAGCGCGTCGGGATTGACGTCCCCCCCGAGCTCCCTATTGCTTCTCAGAGCGGGGGCTTTGTGCAGCAGTCTGCTCAACAGAGGGACGGAGAAATGCGCGGGGGTTTTGTTCCCCACTTTTTGTGCGCTGGGGGAGGGGGCGGCAGGGAGGGACAGGGTCTGGGCGGGCAGCAGGGAGGGGCGCGCTGATTAGGCCCGGCGGGCCCGGGAGCTGAGACGTTCAGCGGGAGTCGGCGGCCTGAATGCAGGGTCATTATTGCTACAAGTTTAGCAATTTCGTCCTTACTGGAGGGGGCGGGGGCTGCTAGTCTGCAGTGGGGCCGCCGGGCTGGGGAGCAGCAGAGACCTAGGGGAGAAGGAAGAAAAAGAAGAGGGGAGGAGAAGAGGGGAGGCCTGCGAGGGAATCCTCTAAACCCACTGACCGCCCAGGATGAGGCTTGGAAGCAACCAAAAGGGCCTAGCGGGAGGCCGGAGAGGCGGCGCCTGGGGAGAGAGGACCCTCCCTCTCCTCGCCTTTCTGGAGGCAGAAAGACCCTGGAGCCGAGCTTAAGTTACTGCACCGGGCTGCCGGTCCCAGAACTACTTGCCGCCAGTTCCCTAGTTTCTGAAAAGCCTCAGTGGAGCGAAGACACTGCCTTCCACCGCCGTGACGCCCCAAGCCCCCGTCCCAGCAGCTCTCCTCTGGAGCCATCGTCTCTCCCTAAGTTGCTTAGGTTAACGTAGGGAATTCTCGCTTCCTAACACGTTTCTCACTGCCCGAGGATGCGAACGACTCATTCACCCATCCATTCAGCAGCGTTTACTGAGAACCTACTAAAATGTGCTCACTTGCACTGTTCTGGGTGCCGAGGACGGTGAAAAAGCGTCCTCAGGCGTATGGAATTTCTTTTCAGGGGTGCGTTGGCAAGGAGGTAGACAACCAACAAATACGGGTAAAAATAGTAGATACATTCTAAAAAGGAAAGAGAACCAAGTGCTGGAGGGAGGGTTCTTTTGGAGCAAATGGTCAAGAAAGCCACGTGGAGATTACATTTAAGCTGATGCCTGTATGACAAAAAAAAAAAAAAAGAAGAAGAAGAAGTAGAAGAAGCAGCAGCAGCCAGTCCAAACCCTGCTTTGCTGTTGCAGCCTGCATGCTTTTGTATATACCCCCCCCCGCCCCGCGTCTAAAATCCCCTTCATTCTCGTCTATCTGGTGGACTCCTGCTCCTCCTCCCAAGATTTTTTCCTGAACCTCGCCAAGTGGAGGTAATCACTCCCTCATATGTGCCACCAGAGTCTTAGGTACTTTCCAATATCACAACGTAGTGCCGTGCAAAGATTTATTTGTCTCTCTCCCTCCATGTGAGGTCCCAGTAAGGTAAGGGGGGAGGGGCAGGTTGGCATCTTTTCCTCTGGGACAGATAACACAGGAGAAGATCGTGGGGCCAGGCTCCTTCAGGGCCACCTTCCCCAGTGCTCCAGGCCCTGTCCATAGCCCCAGTGGTATCAGACTGCCGGACACTGGGTGATGACTGCATGAGAGATGTGGGCTGGACTCTCGGCTCGCCTGGGCAGAGCCAGGACAGCTGAAATCGCCAGTGGAAGATGTGAAACCCAACAGCTCGCAGAGGAAGGTCCCATCTTTGGCAACCCCTTGATGCCCACCTGGGGACACAGCTTCCTCCAGGGAGTTGTCCCTTGCTCTAAGCTCAAAACCTAGGAGGCTGAAAGCTTGGTAATGATTTTGACACCTGGACAGAAAGTTTAGGTGTTGGGGAGGATGTGGGGACTTGGGCAGGGTGGGAGGTGTAAATCTGGGATGTATAGGATAAATCCTGGGCCTACATCTGGGACCCACTTTGAATTCCCCTTCATTCACTAGATGAGGAGTATGGCAGATGGTCAAGAGGCTGCCTGCATCCTGGGAACACTCACTTCTAAGGTGGGATTTCACTGCCTTTGCACCAGGAATCCCAGGGCTCTGGGACACCCTTGATCCCCTGAGGGTTTTCTAAGCAACTTTTTCTCCAGTCTTGTATTCTTCTGGGCCATGGCCTCTCCGTGCTCCCAGTGCCAGACAGACCCCCAGCTTCTGTCTGGCCCGCACTTCTCTTCCTTCAATCTGCCTCCCCTGCTGTCCTGGGGTGAGGGTGGGAAAAGGTGTGTAACCCCAATAGAGGAAACACAGCTGGTTCTATGGATTGGCTTCCCAGCAGTTCTCGTGTACTTAAAGTCAGCCTGGACCAGCCCCCTTCCCCTGCCCTGCGCTTCCCCAGAGCCTGCAGTCTCTGCATAAATAGTTCCCCATCTCTTTGCTGCAGGATTTCCGCACTGCTCCTTGCTGGGATTCCAGGGCCTTGGCCGTTGCAGCGTGAAAACTCTTGACCAATACAACTACCTTACCCTAAAGCTCCCTCTTCAAGGGAAAAGACCTCTCCCAGGCCCAAACTGCTGCTTCACTGGGTTGTTCTGTGAGCCAGGAGGAATCTCGTAAAACTCAACAGGTCTTCTAATGACCCATGAGATTTTGAACAGGTGAAATAATTTGCCCCTTTGGCTCTGGTTTCTGAGCTCTCAGGCAGAGAGAAAGATGGACTGTATGGTACCAGAGGTTACTTCTGGCTCAGGTCTTTTCCCCCTGAATGGGTGGCTGATCCCTCCCCACCCAGTGACTGGTGCCACACTCAGCTTAAGAACCGAACAGGTTCCACTGGTGGAGGGAGTGGAATAGGTTCGAGAAGGTCATTTTTTTCCCCTGCAGAGCCCAATTTTGGGGGGTCAAGAGGCTGGACTCCAGAGTGAGGCTGCCTCCCTTCTAACTTCAGCAGCACCTCCACCAGTGGTAGGGACCTCGAGTTCGCTAGGAGCCCTCTGAACCTGTTTTCTCCTCTATAAAATGGGTATACTTTTAGCACCTCTCCCGTGTCTTTTTAAAGCTACTGTAAAACGCAAATTTTAAGCGTACAACTCAACAAATGTTTATATATGTAAACGCTCATGTACAGATCATCTTGGCTTTGGGATGCAAACGAGATGACCCACGTAAAAGGCGGTTAGCGCAGTGCCTGGAGCGCAGCAGGCCTCGCGTCGGCGTTCTCGGCCCGGCCGGCGCTAGGCGCTGTGCGTGCGGAGAAGCCCGGGACGCTCTTCTGCGCGCGAGGCACTGCCAGGTCCGTGGAAAGGAGCCGGCGGGCCGGGTGGTTCAGAACCCAACGCCCCACGGAGGCGGGTGGGATCACTGCTGGCAGCCAGGGGCGGGCGGCCGCGCACAGGCCTGGGCCTTCGCTGGTTTTGTGGAATTCGACGGAAGGGGAAGGTGAAAGGGGGTTCCAGGTGGAGCCTTGGGCCCCCTCTGGTTCCTCGCGATTGGGAGGAAGGGTCGGGAGAAGCCCAGCCCGTCCGCGGGGCCTCTCCGGGGTCCGGCGCTCAGCTGCTCCTCTGCGCCGCCCGAGTAACCTGCGGCGGGGCCTCTTCTCCAAGGTGGGGCGCTCGAGGCCGGGCGCCGGCAGGAGGCGGCTCGGTTCGGAGTCTGCTTCGCGGCCTTCTTCCCCTTCACTTCCGAGTTCAGGGCCCCAGGAGGGGACTTCCTGGGCGCTTTCTCCCAACTCGAA